TATCATACCAGTGACGGGATATATCCACGAAGACGCGTGACTTGATATTCCTATATCTTCAGCGTATTTTATCTGCAGTATACATCGACAAAAGAAAGTTTTGATTAATTCATCAGTATAACACTACATGTGACTTAACAAAAGATCTCAGTGAAAGACTTTCAGTCATGAGTAAGTCAGTCAGTTAGATATATGATATATCTTCACTTACCAGGTGAACTAAAGGCAAAAAATGTCCAAAAAACACTGTGGTATTCATTGCAACGACTAAAATCAGCATAGGATTTTTGAATGCAGAAAGAATTTTAAGTACCGCAGACCAGATATTTTTCCTCACATCATTAAGATTGCCGGTCATTTCTTTACTCTGCAAATGTACTTGTTCTAATTTTCTTGTAATGGCACATCCAAGAATACTTGCCACAAGGTTCATACCCGCCAATACCAGCATGGTTTTCCTCCAACCAAGATAATCTATGAGTATATGTGCTATAGGACCCATAATAAGAACACCAGCCCCAGGCCCTGCGGACACCATACCAGTAGCAGCTGAGCGCTGTTTATCAAAATACAGTGGGACTACTAAAAATCCTGCCATGTAAACCAGACAGGAGCCCCAAGCGACCAGGAAACCATATGTAAAGGAGAGAACATAGATATTGGGAGCGAACGACGATCCCAGGAGTCCTAGCGCGGAAATAAATCCACCGCATGGAATGATGACACGACAACCAAAACGGTTAATGAAAACCGCTGCTATTGGACATAGAATAGTCAGAAAACCAACGGAAAACGATCCAGGAAGAGCTATGAAAACAAAGAAGACTGAAGTTGAACTGATATAATCACCAAAATGCTATTTTACAATTAATAGCAATAATTCAGACCGCGAAGTCGACAGGGCTTAGAGTTGAAAGAAGTTTTAGTATCAACCAAACTATTATGAAATAGAAAAGACAATAAAGAACAACTTTTCTCGACTTTTCCAACTATTTTGGGTCTATAGATCATAATGAAGACCGATGAAGAGTCTAGAATACTCCATAGCTATAGTTTGCTAAAATAGATCATAATAACTCATAGACCATAATAGACTATAAATAACTAATTAAAGTTTAATTGCACTGAGCAATCTCCAGAATTCACCTATGGTTAGAAAGGTTAGGTAATCAAATTGTAGTAGCCTGCGAAGCGGCCCTAAGTGGATTTGGGAGTGACGAGCGGGGAATGGGGAGGAGAAATTATTGATTGGACTCTTGTCACGCTTGACGTGTTGCAAGACTCATCAGCCTCATCAGTACACGTGACTGGATACTCACCTGTCTTTGCTTTTCCAGCTTGAAATTCTGACAAAATTGCAGGAAAAAAGATACCATATACACAGCATGTTCCCACACAAACAAAACTTGCCAACGAAGCACATACACAGGCCAACCAAGAAGCTTTACAGTCCAATGGCAGTGCTCTATTGGGCAGCGTTTCGTTCGGCTGTAAAAATGAGCTTCTTTCCTCTGTTGGAAAAATTATCTGAATAAAGTTTACTTTATATGATGTATTTTTCTTGGATTTAAAAATGATAGATTTAACACCGTAAAAAGTAGGTGAAGCAACTTACTGACGTTTCAGACGTTAATTCGTCAGAGTAAAGAGACGTAACGTCCGAAATGGCAGTAAGTTCTGGTGTTTCACCTACTTTTTTATGCTGTTAAATTTATCTTTTTTACATAATTGTTTCTTTACAAACACCAACGTAGCTCGCACTAGTTTATTGCTAGTTTCCACCATTATTATTTTCTAGTTTCTCCTTTCATGAAATTAACAACGAAGACTAAACGAGAACAGTGTTATCACAGTATAAATCAGCTAAAATTTTCCAACAATTGAGCAAAAGCCATGAATCCTTTTGGTCGTGCAACCTCCGTTCGACAACTACCATTTGTATCCTACAAATGGGATGAAATTTAGACTTAACGTCAAATGATTCAGGTTCAAAGGTGTTTCGCTATGTTCGACAAGTGCATTATAACATTCCAGTAAATATATACAATTCATATCATTTGAAAAGTACTTGGACGAGATTGAGTCAAGTTTTCGCCAGTCTTTACCTGAACGTACACGTGGTGTTTCTTGAATAGATGCCTCTTGTTCCATGTCGAGTGGGTACTACTCACTCAAATAATCGTCTTTTCATTGAACTTGCTTCGCGACGATTACGATAGCAGCACCTTAATATCGGACTGATGTATAAATTGTTATGGTCTGTGATTGAAAACAAAAACATATGATTCCTCAGATAATGCTTCTTTTCAGATTCTAAACGTTAGTGCGTCGTAATCTACACTTTTTTATGGTTGGCTTTTTAAATATTTTCAAAATCCATCATATTGTGTTATTATTGAGTTTCGCAATGGCAAAACTTGTTTATGCTCAGTTACCTTGCTTGCTCAATACCTAACAAGATTATGTACAAATCTATGTACAGTTAATAGCTAATCCTATCTGTACGGCAGGATTAGGACTTGGAGACCTCTTTAGTCCAAGTTGAATAGAGCGCTTACTTACTCTGAAACGTACGTGCGAAGTAAAAAAGAAATCGAACATCGCGTTTTTCTCATTATCTTATTAATACAAT